GGCCTTCCTGATTGGAAGGCCTGAGCTCAAAGCGCGCTTGGCAGTGCAGGTGGCCAACAGTAGCTTCTCAGAGCTGTTCTCCGCTGCTGCCTTTCCCCGCACTGGAAAAGAGATAACGCGCTTGGTTCAACCAGAATCCAGAAGAAGGCCGGGGCACCACAGGGTCTAGGTTCTGGAGGGGAGAGGAGTGTGAGAGAAATCATGGCCAGTGGTCAGCCAAGCCCGCAGTCTGAATATGAGAGCCCCCAGCCTAGCACCTCAGCGTCCTGCCCGCAGTTGGTGGTAGATGAAGAAACCCCAGGACCATCAGGTCAGGCGACTGGAGGGAGAGGACCCTTGAGAGTCTCGAGCGGGGAGGGAGGGTTGCAGCTGTCAGGAGGAGCACCTGAGTGGCGTGAGAGGGAAGGAGGAGGGACTCGCCATCCAGGGGTGAGAGAAGGAGAGCTGGGGGGACCGAAAGTCCACGTGGAAGGGAAACCTGGGGAGCAGGAAGGGGCTTAGGAGGCGAGCCCCAAGGCAGGCAGGGGAAGAGGGACTCGGTGCAAGTGGTTGTGTGTAATGAGGAAGCTGTGGAGGACAGAGAGATGGGACACGGCAGGGCCACCGAGAGGCAGAGGGAAGTCGACAGAAGGGCGCGGCGGAAGGAGGCTTTGCCGAAGGCCGCCGTCGGGGAGGCTGGAGAGGGTGGGGGAGGCTGGCTTGCGTTTGGCTTCGGGCTTTGCTGCGGGTGGGAGGCGGGGGCTGCGGCCACCCAGGCTGAGTTCCAGAGCCGGAGGCCTCACACGCAGCCCGGTTTCTTCACTCAGCTCCCTGGGTAGATCCCAGCCCCCCGTCTCCTGTGCTTGGCCGGAAGAGGAGGAGGGACTGGTCATCAGTTTCCGAGGAGGAGGAGGAGGAGGAAGAGGAGGAGCTGCAGTTCCCAGAGCCCAAGGAGACCTGGGTCGTGGAGACGCTGGGTGGGCTCAGGATGAGGCTGAAGCGACGGCGAGTGTCGTCGGTGCTTCCTGAGCACCACGAAGTCTTCAAAAGGCTGCTTGGTAGGGGCCCAGAGAGGACCTCAATCCCCTTCCGTGGCGAAACGAGACACTTCCAGCCCCACACTGGGACTAGGGAAAGACGCCCTGCTGGCCGGCGAGCTCTCCATCCCGGAGGACCGCGTCCTGGCCACTCGGCAGGGACACGTAGAGAATTAGGCGAGACTCGAGAAAGGCCAGCACTCGGGATGAGCAAGCTTGGTTCCATCTGCAGCCCTGAGACGTAACGGCTCTTGCTGCCTTTCTGAATCGAAGTGTCTTCGTCTGTAGGCGGGGCTAGCAAGGCCGTGTTCACACCGTCTAAAGAGACCAGCTCATGGGAAAGTGGCGAGAAATCCTTTACAAGTCCTGAGGCGGCACATTCGTGTCCCATGAGAGGCATCATGGCTTGTCAAAGACCCTCCTCAGGCAGACGTTTCCGTGAAACTCAAGCCCTCCCTACTCGGTCACTACTCAAGGGCTTCTCGGAGCCGGAGTCTCTGTCCCTTCCCCAGAGAACGGTCCCCTCTCCCTCTTCCCATCCACTTGACCCTTGGCCACAGTCCTGAACTCCTCAAGGGAGGCACAGTGTCCCTCTTCGCTCCGCTGCTCCCGGGACAGCCTGACACGTGTGCTTTTTCCACAGAGGATCCTGTGGTTCAAAGATTCCTGGCCTGGGACAAAGACCTGAGGGCGTCTGACAAGGTGAGGATGTTCTCCCCGGACTCTTCGCTCCCACACGAAGCCTGGGGAGGCCAGGTTCTCGCAGCCCCCAGTTCGAACTTCTCCTCCACACATCCCCGTCTGGTGCTCCCCAGTGCTGCCTTTCATGACGTGTCAGCGCCTCCCTTCGACGGGCTGGTTGTCTCTGGCAGAGTGCATGGGCGGGCCTGGCCTCTGCTGGGGTCCCTGGGACCTGAGCCTTGAGCCAGGGCTGCCCTGGACACCGCCTGCGTGGTCGTTGCTCCTGGTTCGACTCCTGGTTCGACTCCTCTCAGCCCTGCAGGATGCCCTTTGCTCCAGCTCATCGAGGCCCTCCAGGCCGCAGCCGTCCTCCGCACGCTCTCCCCACAAAGGCCCCGTCAGAACTGGCCATCCTGGGCAGCACGGACTGCCCTTCCTCTGACTCCTCTGATCTGCAGCCCTCCCCACGAGCACGGCCACCCACACTGGAGAGAGCCCCTCCCCAAGTCTCCCACTACCCCAGCCCCGGGTTCGTCCCGTCCAGGATGTGACCGCGCTCTCACTGTGGTTCCTCTCTCTCCACCAGTATCTCTTGTCCATGGTAATAGCTTATTTTAGCCGGGCTGGCCTCTTCTCCTGGCAATACCGACGGATTCATTTCTTCCTGGCTCTGTGAGTATTTACCTCGGCACATCCATCGGTATTCAAACCCTGGGAAGGGAAGCAGGACTCTAGCCTGTCAACCCATTCGTTTGTTTACTCTGTGTATCAAAATGCTGCTAGGGCTATACCGTCGTCTGTGAAAATTCACAAGCACCCCCAAATGTGAGTTAAGAACGGAAAAAGCGAAAGGAAATGTAAACTGCTTAAGGAGAGAGGAAAAAGACTTGATGGCCACCACCCTGTCCCCAAGCCAATAGAGCCATGTCTGATTCTTCAGTCCCTCTCCTCCTCATAGAAACGCCCCGTGTCATTTTTTGTCTTCCTCCTCCAAATTCCCATGAAAGATGCCACAATTCAGGCCCTCCTACACAACACAGATCTGTAGTAAAGTGCTCCCTGCTGGTATTCTTAAGAGTCTCTCCCCAAGCCAGTAGGCTTGGTATGTGAGGCCTGAATATCCTCCAGGAGCTCAAGTCTCGCCACCTTGTTGCCCTCCAAACAACTTCCTTGGCCAATCATTTCTAAATCAAGCCAGGATTCTCGGTGCAGGCAACCCCCTCTATAATGTTTCTTTCTTTTCTTTTCTTTTCTTTTCTTTGAGTTGGGGTTTCACTCTGTCGCCCAGGCTGGAGTGCAGTCACACACTCACGGCCATTGCAACCTGAGCCTGCTGCGTTCTGGCAATGCTTCCACCTCAGCCTTCCAAGTAACTGGAACCAAAGGCATACGCCACTACGCCCTGCTAATTTTTTGATTTATTGTACAGATGAGGTTGTGCCAAGTTCCAAGTTTCAACGGTCATGGCCACCCCAGCGTCCACCTGCTGGACTCCGGCAATCCCTCTGCCTCAGCCTTCCAAGTAGCCAGACCTACCGGCATGTGCTACCACACCCGGCTCATTTTTTATTTATTGTACAGAAGAGGTCTTGCCAAGTTGCCCAGGCTAGTCTCCAACCCGCGGGCTCAGGCAGTCCACTTGCCTCAGCCTCCCAAATTGCTGGGATTATAGGCTGAGCCACCAAGTCCAGCCTATAATATTTCTACAACCAAACTTCCTTGATACTTTATTCTTTTATTTCACCGTGTCTATCACATGCCTTTCCCTCTATATTTATACTGTGTTTCCATCTAGGTATCTTCATACATCTGTAGCTGAAGAAAATGACCTCTCCTTTAAGTCATGCAAACACCACCACCTTTGTGCCGCCTTCACTGATCTTCCAACCTCTGCCTGCCAGTAGCACTCTGATTAAATTCCCTTATCATGACATTGGATTATAGCTTTTTATCCGCCCACAGCCCGCTCACCGATCCCTTTAGACTTGACACCTGCTGAAGGCAAGGTCTTATCAGAATATCAAGACATTCTTAAAACCTTCAGCACAATGTTGTTTTTCTTTTTCAGGTGTTTATGTTATATTGAGTCAGTGAGGTCATCACTATTGCGTTTGGCTATAAGATAAAGCTTTCATCCATTTATTCATCAAAATCTAGTGACGCTCATCCTGTATGCCATGGAATAGAGGGTGTCAGGGAGGTCGCAGAAATGTTTGTGGAATTAATACACCAGTAGAACCAAGCCCTATATCAGCGAGTTGGTAGGAGAGGGAGGAACACAGAAATAACCCAGAGTCAGTTACTGCTCTCAAGGTACTGACGACAGAATGAGGGAGACAGGTGTGTACACATAAAGCCAGTTGAAGGGGAGGGCTGTGAGGATGGGGAGAGGGAAGGGGGAATTGTGATGTCACCTGCCCTGAGTGAGGATGGCAGGTGACATCCTCAGGCTTTCCAGTTGCGTTTTTGTCCTCATCATCAAGGTGTGAGAGGTGCCCTTCAAAAGGGCTCTGTGCAGCATGGCTTCCAGATGAAGGGGTGGTTCCCTGTAGCACCGGGTAGGGCTGATTCAGGTCCTGTGCCGAAGACGACCAGTCTTTCCTCTCTGGGAGACGAACATCAGGTGGAGGTCCCTCTTGGCTGTGCCCCTGAAGCAACCTGGTTTCTCTCTCAGCTACCTGGCCAATGACATGGAGGAGGATAACCAGGCTCCGAAGCAAGACATTTTTTCATTCCTCTATGGGAAGAGCTACTTCCAGCGTCCCTTGTTCCACAAACTTCGATTACAGTTCGTCCGTTCCATGGGCTGGAGGACTTGGGTTTCCCCGGAAGAGTGTGAGGAGGTGAGTGGAGCTGTGGGGACTTGAGGGACAGGAGGGATCGGGCGGGATTTGTGACGGGACAAAGGGATGGAAGGGTCTTCCCGGGGTGTCAGCATCTTTTGGGGGCCTGTTGGTCCTTCCAGATCCAGGCTTACGATCCGGACCTTTGGGTGTGGGGGCGAGATCGCACCCTCCTTCCTAGAGCTCTGGGGACCGTGGAGGACTGAGGTCATCGGCCGGCGGGAAGGTACGTCTGTGTTCTCTGAGGTGAGGACAGAACAATTTGTTGCCTATTTAGGACATCTGAGAAACCCACTTTCTGACCCTCTCTCATCGCCCCTCCCCTACATCTCCTTATACATGTTGGGAAATGGCCTCGCGGGATACACATGGCCCGGCCTACTGGTCAGCTTCACCACCACAGATTGACCACCCGACACAGGCATGGCCTCAGTGAGATGTGCTTTCTACTTTCTCTTTGTAATTTTCTTTTGGCCTATTTCCCTTAGGGATACCAGTATAGAGATTCATTTATAACAGAGTAAATGTTTAACAATAGAATACTGGCAGAGCGCCGGGCTCAGTGGCTCAGCCTGTAATCCCCTGCTTTGGGAGGCTGAGGTGAGTGGATTGCCTGAGCCCGTGCGTTCGAGACCCGCCTGGGCAACTTGGCGAGACCTCATCTCTACAATAATTTTAAAAATTAGCCGGGCGTGGTAGCACGTGTCTCTAGTTCTAGCTACTTGGAAGGCTGAGGCAGAAGGATTGCTGGAGCCCAGTAGGTTGAGGCAGTGGTGGCCTGGAGCAGCCACTGCACTCCATTCTGGGCGACAGAGTGAGACTCCAACACAAAAAAAAAAAAAAAAAAAAAAAGAATACTGGCAGAGCATGGTGTCTCACGCTTGTAATCCCTGAAGTTGGAGGCAAGAGGACTGCCTGACACCAAGGGCTCATGACCCGCCTGGGTAACTTGGCACCACCTCATCTCTACAACAAATCAAGAAATTAGCTGGGTTGATGGGGTGTGCCTTTGGTTCCAGCTACTTGGAAGGCTGAGGCGGAAGCATTGCTTGAACCCAGCAGGTTGAAGTTGCATGTCCGTGAGTGTGCCACAGCACTCCAACCTGGGTTGGAGTCAGACTGAGAGTCTGACTTAAAAAAAAAAAAATGAATAGGATATTAGATGGAACAACTTCGTATTCAGAATTGAAAGATGCATGTCAATAAACTATATTTTAATCCAAATTTGCTTTGAAACACGTTGATCATGTTGAAACATGTTGATCATGGCCAGATCACTCATAAATTCTTGCTTTCCCCTGAAATTGGACCACTCTGGACCAATTTCTCCTCTTGTACAATTGTACCTTTCCCCTTACGTTTAGAGTCAAGCAAATCTGTCAGAATGAGCAGAGGTGAAGAAACACGGGCGTCTTGGAGGCTTGCTATGATTGGCAGATTAGAATTTCAATTTGGGTAGAAGAGTAAATAAAGATTTGGTTAAATATTGTGCAACTAGCCAAGGTTAGGACTAAGCATGAAACATTAGGGACTAGGTGTCTGGTTCATGGTTGGTGGTGTTGTCATGGGAGAGATGTTTGCAGGATGGGTAGAATTTGGGTTCAAAGCAACATAAAAGTCCCAAGTTGTGATGAGGGCCAAGGCGGCATTCTCCTCGTGTGCTCTCTTCCCTGAGTTGAGTCACATAAAGTCCCTCTAGAAAGCACATACAGGGCCTGACCTTGGCGTATTAGGTGATTTTTGGAGTGTGGGTCAGGTCTGAGAATCAAAATTAAAAACGATGGTTCAGAGTTGGGGTTTAGAAGGGAGGGTTAGAGATAAAATTGGATTTATGGGTTAATCTAAACTCTGGTTAGAATGACTCAGGAAGCGAATAATCTTCTTTTCTAGAGAACTGCTTCCTTGAATTATTGACATTGTCTCTTACTTCCAGATCACTGGACCAGGGACATGGGTATTTTCAGCGAGAAGTTGATCCTGACGCTAATAACAGACAGCACAAAAGAAAAGAGGAGCCTCTTGTGCAGAGAATCTGGAAAAACCTAGACTCTTCTAGAAGTGGAATACAGTTAGGTGGAACTCCTAGGAGTTGGGGGTTCTTCCAGGAGGCCATGGAGGGACAGTGAGAAACCAGGGATTTTTGCTGGTTCCCTCCTTCCCTGACATACTAACTACATTTTCAGATTGCTGAATTCAAATCTCCCCCAAGGGATAAGTTAGGAGTTCTACTTTTTATATCCTTAGCTATCACAGTCCAGGATCATTTGAGGGCAGAGCATAAAGCTCAGATTGGAGGGCATTACTTTTAAAGTATAAAATTAGAGCCATATGATTGTAATAGATAATTTAATATATACTGTAACTTATATCAGTTTATTTTGAAATGTTGGCCAAAGAATTATTACTACATTTATTTAAATAGTTTTGAAATAGTTTTACTTTTGAAAGCATGCTGTTCCTTTAAAGTTTTGTGATGAGTGTTGTAGCTCTTATATATTCATAAATATAACTTTGTTTACATTTTTAAGAGAATTTTAAGACTTTGTATCTATTATTATATGTGCTACCAAAGTGAGCACTCCTTTTATCTATTATATTTACATAATATATCTATTATACTTATAGCTAGTTGGTTATTTCCCCAAATTCTTATACATATGTATTATTTGATGTTTACTTTGCATTATTGAATTGTGAAAATTCAGTTGTAATTTTAAAACTGGTCTTAATATGTCTGTGTGTTATTTTATTTTATTTTATTTATTTTTCTTTTTTTGTTTTTTGTTTTTTGAGTTGGAGTCTCACTTAGTCGCCCAGACTGGAGTGCAGTGGCCACTTCCGGCCACCGCAGCCTCAACCTGCTGGGCTCCGGCAATCCTTCCGCCTCAGCCTTCCAAGTAGCTGGAACTACAGGCGCACGCTACCACACCCAGCTATTTTTTTTATTTACTGTAGAGATGAGGTCTCACCAAGTTGCCCAGGCGGGTCTCGAACCTGCAGTCTCAGGCAATCCACTCACCTCGGCCTCCCAAAGGCACGGAATTACAGGCTGAGCCACTGAACCCGGCTGTGTGTTATTTTAAAGAGGACATATTGTTTAAACAAGGACATGTGTTATTTGTACTTAAATAAGACAGTACAGTATCTCTTGGGGAAATATAATAAAGATGAAAAGTCTTTTGACCTTTATAATGTGTGTGATCACTCTGATCCGGGTTGTTTCTCTGATGTCAAATGTCGTTGTTTAATGGAGTTTTGGTTATTTGACCCAATTAATTAAGTCTGAAAAATAATTCTGAATTATTTTTCATGTAGGAAAAAAACAGAAGAGGAGTCAGAGCCTAAGCTAGAATCTGTTTTTATATTTTTAAGAGCCAGCGGGCCAGGGTAGCTAGCACACGTTGTACATGGATAGTCAAATTTCCCGTAAGAATGTTTCAGGAAGTGTTCAGACATTTCAAAAATTACATTTCACTGCAGGTCAAGCAGCCTCCCTACCCCCTCAGCAAATCCAAAGAAAACTCTATCAGATGTGAGACTAGGACAGCTTAATCTTTCTTTCTCAATTTCTTTCTTTCTTTTTTAAGATTAGAAAACATGGTTTATTTAGAAAGTCAATTAGAGAGAGAGAGAGAGGAGACTCACCTCCCCAAGGTTGGGGAGGTGGCCGAAGCCAGGAAATATGGTGGCGGCTATTGCTCCAAGAGCACAGGATCACAGCAGAATCTAGTAAGCAATGGCCAGTCCAACCTTTCAATTCATGGTTTCGCATAATAAGCACTAAGAAAATTTTCAGGTTCCCTGTGGAAGGCAGAAGGCTGAATACCATCCCCTTAACTAATCAAAGCCATGCAAATGGTAAGACCACCTTTTAGCTCAGGAACTTGTGACCTGGAAACATCTGGCAGGTCTCCTGCAAAAGACAGGAAAAGACCACTCCTCCCTTTCTATCTCCCACCAGGAGCCCAGAGATGTCACTCTTCGGAGTAGTGCTTACCTGGGCTACACCCTCTTTAGCACATCAATTCTTGTGAAGGTATATCAGGTCTATTGGAAAGAGCAAAAGGCAGTTTCTCCCACCCATGCCAGCTCTGCCATGTTTCCCTTTATTTTCTCTCTTCTTTCACTAATAAACTTTGTTTTAAAACTTTGCTAGCAGCTCTAAAATACATCTTAGAAACAAGTCAAGGAATTCACTGGTTTTGTGCCGCACCCCACCTAGCACCAACAGGATCTCCCTCTGTTGCCTGTGCTGGAATGCAGTGGCATGCTCTCAGCTCACTGCAGGCCTGACCTCCTGATATCAAGCAATCCTCTCATCTTAACTTCCTGAGTAGCTGGGACTATGGGCATGTGCTGACCAATTTATTTAATTTTGAGACTCTGGAGTCTCCTGTGTTTTACAGGCTAGACTCGAACTCCTGGCCTCAACACATCTTCTGCCTTGGTCTCCTAAAATGCTGAGATCAAAGCAAAACTAAAAGGAGGAACATTACCGGGCAATAAGCTTCTGAGGGAAAATATTTCTGAGGAGATGTGGATGGGATTTTTTTTTAAGTGGGAACAATTTTAAGGGTCTGGGAAGGGTTAAAGTATTATAGAATGAGCTTAAAGTTTGATGGATATTGTGGAGAATGAAGGAAGTAAGTGAGCGGAGCAACGGAAGCGATAAAAGTTTCTACAGGCCAGGCATGGCGGCTCATGCCTGTGATCCTAGCACTTTGGGAGGCCAAGGCAGGAAGACTGCTTGAGCCCAAGAGTTAAGGCCAGCCAGCCTAGGCAATGTAGTGAGATTTCATCTCTACAAAAACAGCCTAAAATTAGCTTGACATGGTGAAATGTATCTGAGGTCTCAGCGACTCTGGAGGCTGAGGCAGAAAGATGGCCTGAGCCTAGGAGACCAACACTATGTCGAGCTATGATGGTGCCACTGCACTCCATCCTGGGTGACAGCGTGAGATTTTGACTAGAAATAAATATATACATAAATAAATAAATAAATAAATCGTTCCTGAAAAGGTCGAAGCTGTTAAAGACTGGGACTGCGCAATGTAATTCTGACATAGACCTCCTGGGCACACATGGTTTGGGATTCCTCAACTTCCCACACAACTCATCAACAGTAAAGCATCAAATAAATGTAATCATTTCTAGCACTTCTCTTTTTAGTAGGTGGAAGAATAAATCTTGTCATATTGCAGGGACC